AGGTCAGGCTGACCTTGAACTCACTATTTAGCTCAAGCTGACCTCAAACTCCTGGCTATCCTCCTTCCTCAGCCTCCCAAGTGTTGGGATTATAGGCCTGCACCACCATGGCTGGCTACTTTTTGATTTTTACAGGAGTTCATAGCTAAGACTTTGCCTTAAGTCATGGGAGTGACTTTGGACTTGAACTTTTCAGCGATGCTAGAACTGTTACAGCTTTGGTGACTCTTAGGGATGGATTAAATATATTTTACATAATGACATGAGCCCTTTTTGTGCCATGGGCAAAAAAGAATATTGTGGTTTAGATCTAGAATGTCTGCATGAAGTTTGATGTGTTCAGAGGTGGTCCTATTGGAAGGCGAGTGGGTCATGGAAGCACTGTATAAATCCATTGATGGATTTCTGTGCTATTAGGAAGTGGGGCCTGGTTAGACAGGTGGATCACTGGAGGCATGAGCTGGAAGGATACATTCTTATATCTTTATTTATTTGGGTGTTTTTTTTTGTTTTGTTTTGTTTTGTTTTTTTGTACTGCAGGCTGTCCTTAAACTTACTAAACTTACTAACTTACTGGCCTTGACCTCTCAATTCTCCTTCTGCCTTGGCCCTTCTGAATGCTGAGATTACAGGTGTGTGCCATCACATCTGGCTTTGGACAGAAGGAAACATGCTCGTGTCTGGGTCCTCCTTCTCTCTGCTTCCTGGCTGCCCTGGGTTGAGTAACTTTCTGCTGCCAGGCCTTTCCACCATGCCACTTCTGCCTTGAAGCCAACCAGTCATGGACTGACCCTCATGAAATCACGAGCCAAAACAAACCTCACCTTCTTTCAGTTGTGAGTATCTGGTATTTTGTCCCAGTAATGGGAAAGTGACTAATACACCTGTTTTTCCCTTTGACTGGGTCTCTGCTGTAAGATAATATTTCACAAAGCATTCTCATACAATTTCTAATTTTGTTCAAACATATCTTTAGATAGAGACTCAGACCTAGGGCATCAAGTCAAGACTGTCACCATCTGCAAACCATTAGGCTGACAGAAAACGATCCGATGACTCCCAAGCCCCAGGCTGGGCTTACTTTCCTCTTGGATGACAGAATGCTAACGTTGAGGTTTAATTTTCTCCCCCACCCAGCCCTTGCAATGGTCAGGAGTGGGATTAGCCTCCCACCTTTCCTACTCCGGACTGGAACTTTCTCTAAGGCAGGAACTTTGTATTTGAGTTCCTAGAAGCTTATAATGTACCTGGCACTGAGAACATACTTAGGAGTTGATGAATAAAGGAACATGTGAATGTGCTTAAGCCCATGGAAGACTCTTGGTCTCACACTGTCTTTGGAAGAATGTTGCAGTATAAGAAGGTTCCGGCTCAAAGGTTTGGAACCCCTGGGCCAAACTTTCAACAGAGCCTCAGTTAAAAAAAGAAAACAAGCAACTTAAGAGGTCTCCAAGAAAGATTTTTTTTGCACAACTAAATGGAAACAATAGTCTTTCTTATATTTCCTCCAAAACTAAATTCTTGGTACTGAAAGCTGGCCCTAATCAGTAGTCCTTGCTCTAAAATTTGAAACACCAAATAAAAGCTTTGCCAGGATGTGTGCCAAGCAAACTGCAGTACAGAAATATAAATATAAATATAAATCCCTGAAGAAAAATGATGTTTACTATGGCAACAATTAACAACTTTGACAAATGGTGTATAATGGTAAGAATATAATAATGACAGTGGAGATACCTTTTATTTAAAAAGAAGTTCCTATCATATTATGGACAACAATACCTCTACAATAATTTTTCAAATTAACCTTTTCTACTTTGCTTTTCCTCCAAACATAATGAGTGGGTGAGTAGTGTGATGGATCTTTATACAGTGGACACTATCTACATTTCAGTAAACCTCATGGTTTGGCAGGCTTTGAAGGACATTCTCAGTACTGTCCCCCCCAAAGGTCCCAATCACTTTTCTGGATCTTTTTCTGGAGAGACCAGGCAAAAGTATGGCTCATGGGGGACACTTGAGAGGGAACTTCAGGAACCAGCTCTCACTTCAGTATTGTATTCCATTGATATCTAGATCCAGGATATTTCTTGAAGGAGGAATTCTGAAGGTGTCTCATGTCAGCCCAGCTCTACCATGTCAGCCTAGAATAGACCACCAACACTGAAATTCAGTACACCTTTCATTAAATTGTAGTATAGAGATGAACATTTTACCTTACTACTACTGGTAGGATCTTCTACAGCCAGAAATGATCACTACACTTTGTTCTCTTTCCATGGACCTCATCACAGTCTCGTAAAATAGCTAATTTGTATACAAATCTTGGCATCCAAGACTGTGTTAACCCTTTACTAGTTTTTTTAAGTACGTGCTTCCCTTAGCTCTTACTTTGGAGGTCAGGAAACTTGGATATGAACCCTGGCTTTAAAACTCATCCCTAAAAGAGGCAGACTAAGAAGATAAACCTGTTGCTTTCCATCTGACAGCAAGTATTTTTGAGCAATTACATCATTCGAGATATTATGCCAAGGGTGCAGCATTTAAAAAAGAAGTGTAAAAATAAAAGAAATATAAGCAAGACTTGGTCCAAAGACACTGTAGTTTGTGTTACCAAGATAGGAATAAGGTGTTAAAAGTCATCTGACAACACCCAGAGGTTACTAAGCGGCACCTGAGTGTTTCAAAAGACAACAGAAATCAAGGTGGCTGGAGGGGTTAAATTGGGAATGATGGCCCTGGAATCAGGCAGGGCCCTGAAGAGAAATTTGCCGTCTTTGTGTTTTCTATGTTGAACAAAAGAACACTGAATTCTAAGCTTCTTGGGTACAGTAACTCCTTTGTTGATTCTCTACAGTAGGAATTACGACTCATATCTAAATAAAATGAGCCAAGCCTGCAAGTTAGATAGAGAAGGTGAAGCCATTTATAAATCTCACCTCTGAGACCCCCACTTTAAAGGGCAGGCCTTGGGCAAGACTTTTCCTGGAAGGGAATACTTTCTGATTTACTTAGAGACCTGAAAAGTATTTCACTCAATAATTTTTATACCCCATTTCATACTAAGACTAGATACACGAAAAGCCAAGCTGGAGCTTTCCATGGCATGAGAAATGCCCATTTAATAATATTTTTGTTAAATACATCAGGACACAGTGAGGCCATATTCTTTTTAAATTTTTTTTTTTTTTTTTTTTTTTTTTTTTGGTACTGGGGATTGAACTCGGGTCCTTGCGCTTGCAAGGTAGGCCACCGAACTGCTGAGCTAAATCCCTGGCCCCTTAAATGTATTTTTTATTGATACATTTTAGATATATAATACAGTTACATTCATCTTTGGGATCTTGTACCATTACATGATGTATCTTGGTTCTTGTTTTTCCCCATTCCCCTAGCCTCCCTTCCCCCTCCACCCTTCCCTATTTACAAAGACTTTGCTTTCATTTGTTTCCGTTTCTCTTATTTTTTCTTTTCCCTTTTCACCTTTCCCCTCCCGCTCCCATTTCCCCAACACCTTTAGACCTTTTCTTCCTATTACACAATATCAATTATACATTTTGACCCTTATTTACACTTTTAGTTTATCACACCAGAGAAACTATATGGTATTTATGTATGTGCCCTATATATTTCTCATAAAAGTATGTCCTCAGTATGCATCTGCTTAGCTATAAATGTCTCTAGTTTCTCATTCTTCATGGCTGAGTCATATTCCATTTTATAAAAAAAAAAAACACACTTCTTTATCCAGTCTCCAGTTGATGGGCTATTGGGCTGGTAGTGAGACCATATTCTGGTTCGAGAAATAGCATGTTTCAATAGCCCTACTTTCTGCCAAAGGCTACCACTACTCTAAGACCTACACTGTAGATTAACTTTACCTGGTTTTGAATTTTAGTACATACTATTGTATTTGGCTTCTTCAGCATTGTGTTTGTAAGTGTTATGTAGAAACTGGTCCATTTTCTATGTCATATACCTTTTCATAATATGAATATATCACAATTTATCCATTTTACTATTCAGGAACATGTGGATTATTTCTTGCTTGGGCTGTCACAATGATGGTGTTTACATAACAATGCACATTTATACTGTTTATCTTTCTGTTGCATAGATCCTCTGGAGTAGAATTACTAGGTCATAGGGTATGCCTTTGTTCAATTTTAGTTATTACTGTCAGGTTTTCCAAAGTGATTTACAAATTTATAGTCTCATCGTCAATTTAGGAGATGTATATACATCCTTGCAAACATTTTGCATTGTTCTTCTTTAGTTTTTAGCCACTTAAAGGCTATATAATGAGGTCTGTTTATTGTCTTAGTTTTTATTTCCTAATGGCTAATGGGGGGAAGCATCTTGTCGTATGTTAGATGTGTTCGATATTTGGCTGTCTTCTTTTCTTTTTTTTTCAGCTTTAATTGAGTTTATTGGTACATTTTAGGGATACAGTACAGTTACATTCATTGTTGGGATCTTGTACCTCTACATGACAAGTCTTGGTTCTCATTTTTTCCCCTTGTCCCTGCCCTCCCTTCACCCCCTCCTCCCCTCCCCATCTACAACCATTTTATTGGCTATCTTCTTTTCAACAGTAACTGGTAGAGTCTTTTTAATCACAATGATTGATTTTTAAATTAATTTGCTACAGTTCTGTACATATTCTGGATGTCAGACATTTATTGGATGTACTTATTGTAGGCATCCTTTCTCTGGTTATCCTGAAGTCTGATAATAGGCCAATACATCTAGAAAAAAATGAAGCAGAATGTTGGACTCCTCTCTTCAAAATTTCCTTTTCTCAGGATTTTTGCCCAAGACCTCAGAGTTTGGGTAACTCTTTGATGACTAGTAAACTTGTGACTTTTATACACTTAATATTTTATACAGATTCTCTCCCCATTTTTCACATTATAAAAATAGATCTAATGCAAACTATTACTCTATCTTGAGAGGTATAAATTTGTAAATGAGACTGTCATACGAGGCATTTCAAAGAGAAATCATAGGATGGTATCTATGTATACTATACATGTATGGTATCTCATAGGTACACAGAAATAAACTTTCCTAGGCCAAGGCTGAGGCAAGGGAGCCATGATAAGAAGTGAACAAGAAGAGTTTGTACTGCTGCCATGAGGGATTATCCTGCGACTCCTGGGTCTTGTCCTTGGAAACAAGGATACAACAAATTAGAGAAAAATTTGGGGCTCCTAAAGTAGTATCCCACCTCTACCACATCAGACTGCAGGCCTTTGGGAAGCCCCCATCCAGTGGAGCAATGAATTTAAGAATGGAATAAAAAAAAAGGAAGAAAGGAAGAAAAAAAAAAGGAAGGAAAGAAAGAAAGAAAATATCTTTTGGAGAAGACCCAGGCCAGTTGAAAAGGCTGCAGAGTTTCTGTCAAGGCACAAATCAACCTGAAAGCTGCACTACAGCTATGAAAAGATAACAGAATGACACCTGTGGAACCAAAAGTGGTGATTCATCTAATTAGAATCCTGTTTAACATCTGCAAAGTAAAGTTCCTAGAGAAAGTGCATGCTCAGAGTGCAGAGAAAGAGTTTCAATGTGAGGGAATCAGCTCAGATGCCTGTCAAGACTGAGAGTCACACAGAAACACACCTTGTGGTGGTTCTGAGTCATGGGATCCTTTCCAGATGAGAATCTACAAGCAACTGATTGATTTACATAGTTGTCTGTGGTTGTTAAGCAAACTACTTCCATCAGTATTGAGCTGGCAGCTGAGGTTGACCAGATATCTAAGTCAGCTATTTTAATAAATAAATTGATTACTAATTGTCTTTCAAAAAATGAAGCAAACAACAAGGCTATA